TTTTTCTGGCCATTGAGTTTCACATTCCAGTCATGTGACCTTAGCATCAGGCAGGTAGCAAACACTTTCAAAATATTCCATTGGGAAAAAAAAGATGTTTTATAAAGATTAGACATGAGCATATTTCTTGATAACTTTTGAATTTTCTGAGAACACTAACTACTTCAAGGTTAGCTGTTGGGTGCCCCCAAAATAAGCATACAATTAGTCACATGAAGCAGGCCTTGATTATTCCTCATTACAAGGTTTGTCCTCATTTCAGACTCTGAGATGACTCCTGAGTATTTTCATTTTCAGAGTTTGATGATTGTTGAACCTGGGGTTTTAATTTGGCCTATTATTGTAGCAAGCATCTATAGCAGCAAGTCTCCAAACTCAGGTCAACAGACTATGACCACATTATTATGCTAAAAATAGTTGCGTAGATACTCAGCTCAGGCTCTGAAATCTAGAGGGGGAGATATGGCAAGCCACAACTTAAAAGCTTTGTCTACACACCTCTTTCTACCACGATAACATGAGCTCAAGCCTGTCAACTCAATCAGAAGCTTGCTTCTATGGATATGTCAACATTGCCAGTAGATAGCATGAGCTAGGGCAGGAGTTCTCAAACTTGATTGCACCACAACTCCCTTCTGACAACAAAAATTACTACACAACTCCAAGAACAAGGACCAAACCTGAGCCAATCCAAGCTCTGCTGCCCTGCATAGGGGTCAAAGCCAAAGCCCCAGTGGTCTGGACAGAGGGCCAAAGCCCAAAATCTTCAGCCCTGGGCAGGGAGCCTATAACGAGAGCACTGTTGTCTAGGGTGGAAGTCCATAGGCTTTGGTCCCAGGCGGTGGGGCTCTAGCTTCAGCTCTGGACCCCAGCAAGTCTAAGCTGTGGTAACCCCATTAAAAGGAGGTCCCAACCCACTTTGGGTCCCAACCCACAGTCTGAGAACTGCTGAGCTAGAACCTGAATTTTTCCAGTGAGACATTTTGGTTTAGACCCATCTGTAATTACAAAACACTTACATTAAAAAAAATAGCCTTCCAGGTTACAGAAAGTGTCCTGTAGACCAGTGATACTCAGGCCTTTGTGCTTCAGGAGCCAAATTATTGATTTAACATTACCCAAAAGAGCCATAGTAGCGTGAATTCATTGTTTCATTTATGATAGTTTTATAGCACTATATATTAGGATTGTTAAAGACAAGTCGACTATCCGATAAGCATTTGCTTATTGATAGTCTTTTGACTAGTCGACATCCCCTCTCCCTACGGTGACCATGTTTTCTGAACTAAAAATAGGAACACATTAGCCACGCCCCTGCTCCCTTTAGCCACACCTACCTGCCACCAGAAATCCCACCCCTGGGCATATGACTGAAAGTAAAGGGTGTAATGTGACCCCTCTAAGAACTCCTCCCATCATCGTCTAGGGTTGCCAGCTGTCCAGTTTTGAACCAGACACTCCAGTATTTGAGCTTTCTGTTCAGGAAACAAATTGAGAAAATATAAATGTCCAGTATTTTCTAAATAAGATGTAATGTAGATTGTGATATGTCAAGTGTGTCTGGTATTTTTGTTGATACCATCTGGCAACCCTACCATCTGCTACCAGTGGTTTTGTGCACCATAGGACTGCAAAGAGTGGATCTGACCATGGGGACACCTCATCTGACAAAGGATAGTTTCTGATCTGTGAATTTGTTCATATGAGAAGTCTTAAAGTGTAAAAAAAATGAATGATTTAATTATACATGTAATGAATCACCTTCATTGAAAAGAACTAATATGAATACAAATATTTAAAAATACAATACAAATATAATAAAATACAAGAAAAAAATAGATAAGTTACATTATTTACATTTGCACTGTCAATTTTCAAAACTTCAAAGTTAGTCTGTACAGGATAACCTTAAACAACAAATAGTCCGGTAGCACTTTAAAGATTAACAAAACATGTAGATAGTATCGTAAGCTTTCATGGGCACAGCCCACTTCTTCAGATAACCAGCTACATATTTTGTTAGTCTTTAAAGTGCTACCAGACTATTTGTTGTTTTTTAATTTTATCCTGTGCAGACAGGAGGTGTGGGCTCTGGGGTGAGAATGAGGGATTTGGGTGTGGGAAGGGGTGAGAGGTGCAGGGTCTGAAAGGGAATTTGGATGCAGGAAGAGGTGGAGAAGGGGATGCTAGCTCAGGGAGGAAGCTCCAGGCTTACAGTGTTGGGGTCAGCTGGAGGGTGAGGTGCTGAGCAAGCCACAGGCTTGTAGATATGAGGGTGCAGGAGTTTGGGTTGGATATGTGAGGGACTATGGGCAGGGAGGTTGGGAGTATGATGGGCTCAGGACACAGCTTTGCAGCGAGTGGATGGTGCAGGAGCGTAATGGCAGAAGACTGAGGATGTGGGGGTGCAGGAGTTTGGGGATGAGAAAGGCTCAGGACAGGGGGTTCCAGTGTATGATAGACTCAGGTTTGGGCATCTGGGGTAGGGTGCAGGAGTGTTATGATTTATGATGCTGTGGCTAGATGGGGACTTGGCCCCAGTTGGGGCTTGTTGGCCAGGCTTCATTTTTAAATAAAATATTATGTCGAACAAAAAAGGTTTCCGCATTGTCTTTATTTATGAGAGGGACGAGGAACCTGTTTTGAGTCAGGGAGTCACTGACTCACAGAAAAGTCAGTTGGAGCCACACAAGTGAGATGCAAAGAGACAACCCCTCCAACCCCCACACCTCCTCCAGCCTCACTAATGTGGCCCCAACTGTGCTGGTGGGGGCAGGGGACATGGTCCTGGGGCAGATGTCAGGGTACTAGTGGGAGGGTTTGGCCAGGGGGAAGAGGAGTCTGGCTAGGGGGAAGAAACAGGGACCCCTGGGGCCAGGGGATCCTGCAACTGCACTGCTTCCTTCTCTCCCAAACAGCCAGCCCGCTTCCTGAAATGCCAAGTCTGTGGAGCTACCAGGGACTTCTTTCCCCTGCTGCTTTAGGGGTGGTGGCGATGATGATATGTAGGAGTCCCAGGATTGTGCAGGAGTTCCAAATGCTCAGGAAACACCCACCCTGCTCTCTGATTCCCAGCTGACCTACAGCTGTTCTGCACTCTGCCTTTTAAAACTAGCAAGACCCTTCAGGTCTGACTATATTTAAAAGGCAGAGCGCAGAACACCTGTAAGTCAGCTGGGACTCAATGAATGATTCCCCTTGCACCTGCAGCTCTGCCTTTTAAACTTAGCAAGAGCCATGTGGTTCTCCTTAGATATAAAGGGCAGAGCTAACAATCTTCACAAACCGGGGCCAGATGATTTTGAGATCAGCTGGCCCCCGACCCACACAAGTTCTCTGCCCTTGAAATCTAATGAGAGCCATGTGGCTCTTGCTAAGTTTAAAAGGCAGAGGTGCAGCTGCACTGGGAATCATTGGACAATTCCCAACTGAATTACAGCTGTTCTGCACTCTGCCTTTTAAACCTTCAGTTCTAACTAGGTTTAAAAGGCAGAGTACAGCACAGGTGTAGCTTGGCTGGACTCATCCAATGATTCCCAGTGGGGCTGCCCCCCTACCCCAACCCGTGCAAGTTCTCTGGCCTTTAAATCTAAGGAGAACCACATGGCTCTTATTTGGTTTAAAGGGCAGCAGGGTTTGTAGTGGAGGTGGAGGGGGCCCCACTTATCGACTGCAGCTGCTGCTTCACCCAGCATAGTTCCCAAAAAGAACTACCTGCCAGCGAAGGAAGAGAAGGCTAGGAATCAGGCACCGCCTCCCGCTGCTCTTATTGGCTAGGTTCCAGAGCAGCAGGAAAAGCTGTAGGCAGTGCCTGCACACCTGAATTTTCCCCCAGAAGAGAGAAGCGGAAGAGGAGAGCGAAAACAGCAGCACACTGTTACCTGCGCTGCTGTTTCCGGGACTTTAAGGGTTTTCGGGACACCCCTACAGGAAGCTGAAATCTGGGACTGTCCCGGATATTTGGGGCTATTTGGTTACCATACCTCTCCCCCTTGCTGCCTCTGAGATGCGGTGCTGCTACTTTGAAACTCCAAGGCAGCCACTGCACAGCTGATACGCAGATCAGCTGTGCGGCGGGCTGCCCCTTTAAAACGCTGCCTCTGCACAATTCAAAGGGGCAGCCCTGGAGCCCTGGTGACTTCCCAGCTGATTCCGGGATTACCGCAGCATTTCTCCAGAACCCAGGATCAACTTGGGAGTCTCCAATACCTGGGGTCAGTGGATTAACTCTGTGGTGGCTGCCCCTTTAAAACAACACCTCCGTGCATTTCAAAGGGGCAGCTGCCGTGGAGCCTGGGTTCAGCTGGAGACTCCCAGCTGACCTCTGGCTCCTCACAGCATTTCCCCAGAACCCGGGATCAGCTGGGGAGTCCCCAGCTGATCCCGGGCTCCTAGCGGCATAGCATGGAACCTGGGATCAGCAGGGGACAGTCACCCACTGATCCCAGGCTCCATAGCTTTGAAATGCACAAGAGCCCCTGCTACGGACTCTTGTGCATTTCAAAGCAGGCACTTGCATGCAGCCCAGAGTCAGTGGGACTTCCTGCTGGCCCCGGGGGCTGTATGTGGAGTTCCGCATTCCTCCTTTGAAATGTACAAGAGCCACAGCAAGTACCTATCGACTAGTCAATCGCATTTTAACATCCTTACTATATATTCATATTTAAACAGCATGACAGGTGACATTTATTGTACACAATTCTCACAGCAAAATGACTTACCAGGTCATGTTACCTGATCAACTACAACTGGTTAATAACATTAACCAGACAGGATATTTATACTATAATTAAATCACAGTGTTTTAGTAATATGTGCTGCAAATAGCCACAGGACATACATTAAAGATGCATATGATGAAGTGCGTCTTTGCCACAAAAGCTTATGTCCAAATAATTCTGTTATTCTTTAAGGTGCCGCAGGACTCCTCTGTAGCCAGACAGACTAACCCCCCATATCATCCATCTTATTTGCCTCTCTGAAGCATACAGGGCAGAGAAGGAGCAATAAAATCAGCATAGTCTATGCTGGCTCATCTGATCCCGAGAAGCTGAAAAAAAAAAAAACCAGATATGTGGAGAGAGAGCGATTAAGGCAATCAGCATAGCCATTAAGCTTTGATGCGAGATCAGGATATGCGAGAGCCCCCGGCTGGCACTTATGTTGATTCGAACACACACACAGTCCCTGGGGGTGTGTCTAGACTACATGCCTCCTTCGACGGAGGCTTGTAGATTAGCCAGATCGGAAGGGGGAAAGGAAGCCGCGATTAAAATAATCGCGGCTTCATTTAAATTTAAATGGCTGCCCCGATCTGCCGATCAGCTGTTTGTCGGCAGATCGGGGGAGCTAACCCCCCCATATCATCCATCTTATTTGCCTCTCTGAAGCACAGGGCAGAGAAGGAGCAATAATATCAGCATAGTCTATGCTGGCTCATCTGATCCTGAGAAGCTGAAACATAGATATGAGGAGAGATCAGGATATGCGAGACTGCCACCGGCTGGCACCTATGTTGATTCGAACACACACACAGTCCCTGGGAGAGGAATTTCCCACTGAGAAAAGAATCCCCAGTAATTCCAATTTAGTTATCTCTCTTACAAGTGTAAATTAAGTTCACAACTCCCTTGTAAGAACTGGTCTCACAGCAGACAGACCAGCATCAATTGGCATTACAGACAAGAAAGAGAAATACTGTCCCCATGGGTATATAAGATGGGCCCAGCACACACTCACTTGGAGTGTCATTCTACCCTCTACCTGCTGGTCGGGTTAGGTGTTTGACCTCCCGAGGTTCTATGGGGACGCCCACCTCGTATTTTCGTCTTTCCTAGGAATTGAGGGACCGGCCCTGGCCTGACGTGCTGGAGTCGAGAGGCACAGAAGGGTAAAAATTGTACCTGGATGTGGTCCTCTGTCTTAAGTGTACACATAGAAAGAGTAAGCTGTTACTTGGTACCATTATTTCCATTTTTCTATCTTTATCTTCTTTGTAACCATTTTTAAGATCTATATTTTGCTAGTAGTTAAGAAATAGAACAATAGCCATTGCAACCATATGATTTATAAGCTTCCTCAATAAACCTGTAACTGTTTAAGTTTTAACCTGACTCCTTCAGTTGCTGTAATAGAACCAAGCACAATTTAAAAGAACTTCAGCCAGTCATTAGGGACAGATATAGGGAGAGCTTGGGCGTTTGGATTTGTGTCACACCCAGGTGGCACAATCCACTGGAGCACCTTTCAGTCTTTCCCCAAAGCTGCCCGCTGCGAAGGAATTACGAAGTCTAGCAGCTGAAATCTAAGGTGTAATAAGCCCTTCCTATAAACTCGGGGCATCTGAGAGCCTGTTGGCTGCCCTCTGCGATGGGACCACAGTCCTAGCAGTAAAGTCACAGACGTTAAACTATTTTTCGGGGCGCCCTCCAGCCTCCTAGGCTGCCCACTGCAACGAGACTTTGTGTCTCAGCAGTTGAAGACTTGGGTGTAACACACACGCACACACTGCCCTGACCGTCAGCTGACATCCTCTTTGTGTTTGGAGATACAGACTAACACGGCTGCACCTCGGATATGGAGCCATTTGTGGGACTTATCTGAGTATTACTGTTCTAGTAATTTCTAATACTATTCAGTAACGTAGCATTTAATCACTATGTTTCTTTCTACAAAGATACAAATCCCTTCAGTCATTTAATGCGTCCTTTAGTATTAGTTGATCACATCCTTCAGTTTGTTTGGCAAATGTACACACAAAACGCTTTGAAAACATATTGATCAAAATAACACTTGATATTTGGTAAAGTGTCATGTGCTATTTTGGTCCTCTATCCCAAAGTTAACATTACAGATTGGGAAATTGTATCTTAAAAAAAAAACAACCCAAAAGGCAAAGAGTATTGAATTAGCTGCCATGTTCTCATCAAGTCACTTGTGAAACTCAGCAGCTAACCTTGAGTTACTAGCTCAGTTTCACGGAATGTCCACCAATCATTTTTATTTAATAGGTTTTCATACCTTAGAATGATAAGACTATAAAGCTGAATTTTCTAAGTGCAGTATCTCTTCACCGAGTCCTTTAAAAAAAAAAAAAATTAAAAAGTATCTTCATCTCTTCAAAGCAATTATATTGAAAGGAAATGGAGCTAAAGTAAGACCAAATCTGCCTTCCATGGCTGGTTTTGTAGCACTCTCAGGATACAAAAAGGTGAAATTTTGCATCAGATTCACAAACATCAAGAACAACTCCATTTTTGCCAGCTGCTCTCCCATGCACACACGTTTGCCTAAAGAAAGGTTAGAAAAGTAAATACTGCATGAGTCAATAGTATAAGGATTAACAACAACATCCCTACCGTTTTCATACAACCTTGTTCCAAGCAGAGAGGGACTCAGATCTGAACTTAAGATTTGGATTCTGTGTCTTGGTTTGGGCTTCACTTGGTTTTATTGTTTGACATTAGAAGCAAATTCAGTCTCACATTTTAGGACAGTAAAACCACTTTTACAGTATCATATGATCCATCTTGGGGATAGAACTTAGAGGAAGTTGCACTTATTTAATCAGGTAGGAATTAAACTATAGTGTTTTGCAGGTCACTCCCAAAAAGTTTTAAAAAATTCGCATAAAGCTTAAGTAATCAGTGTGAACCACATAAGTTTAACTTTTACTCTATTTTAAACAATGAAGAATATTTTCTATGATGAAATAAGAAAACGGCAAAGGCTTGTAGCTCTCCCCCCAAACTTTTAAACAAAAAAGCCCATTTCAATTGTATCTTGATATTTTACCAATTCCAAAAGGAATGAACGTTTCTCGTTTGATTAGCTGGCCATTTTCATCCAGAAATCTTGTTGGCTGGAAGTCATCTGGTCTCTCCCATATATTGGGATCTCTATGCACTGACCACAAGTTGGGCACAATCACACTGCCCTTAGGAATAGTATATCCCTGTAGAACTTCAAAACAAAAACCGAGACAAGAGTTTTGATGGATGTTAGGAGCAAAAAAGAGATGTCACAACTAACAGAAGAGAGACTACAGTCATTACACTATCGCCTTAATCCTGAGCTATGAACAAGGAACGCCCATGGCATCTCATTCCTGCATTCTAATTCCTTTCTACCACGATCATACCCTGGCAATAGGAATCAGCAACAGGACTGCAAGAGAGGATTGAGGTTTTGTTTTCTGTAGAAATGGAAACCAGCAGCACATTCTTTTCTAGCTTAGCAATCGGTTTACATCATGTTAATGCTTTCAAGGATCTTTCTGCCAGGAAAAGGTCTACAGACTTTTTTTTTTTTTTAAATGAAAGCAGAGATTCTCCTTTAATGTTCCCCAAGGCTGGATCTATCAACAAAGGCTCACACAATTCAAAAGCAGATAGGACTCTAATTTTGAAACACATGGGCATCCGAAGTTAACCACTTTGGATGGGCAGATGAACATTCCTACCCTTTCTGTCTAAAGACATGACATTTTATACACTGAAGTTGCATCTGTAACGGAATAACTCCACAAAGTTACCACCTGTCCCATCAGACATTTCAGTCATACAATGTAATACCCTCCCCCACCGCACACACACACAAAACCCTTACAAACACTTACTAGCAGTTTCTGAGGCCATTCGAGGAACAGAAAGCGGAACAACCACAGTCATCCTTTGTACCTCCATGATGGTTGCCTCCGTGAATGGCATGCGAGCCTTGTCAGCGAGAGAAGGAGCTCGGTCATGCCCGATGGTCACTTCAATTTCTGCATGAACCTTTTCTATGCAAAAGAAGGGAGGAGTAAAGAGAAAGATGAAAACTAGGAGCCAGGGCACTGATGTACTTTCAGATTGATCTACATTTACATTATCGATCATGATGGCTAGAGACTTTAACTTCTAGGCAGCCAAACGCATAGGAGTTTTCTAACGGCTGTTCAGGTCTCTCTGGTCCTTTCTAACCCACTTTCTCTGTCCTCCTTGCCTCACCTCACCCACCCTACTAAAGGATAAATGAAAACCAATTCTCTAACCTGCTCCATCAAGTATATTAGGCCCAAAATAATGGAGAAAGGTGCAAGCTCCTTCTTTCAATCCCATGCTATATAGGGTGAAGGTTCATCATTAAGTTGCATTACAGCGCCATCCATTAGGTGCTTTCCTGCCCCAAAGAACTCAATCTAAAAAGAGAGGAAGGGCAGGCCAGAGGGGTTTTTTCTTTCTTTTTTTTTTTTTTTTTTTTAATAAATACAATTAAATTAATGGAGATTGCCTATCTCCTAGAACTGGAAGGTGTCTAGTCCCCTGCCTTCACAGAAGGACCAAGTACCATCCCTGACAAATTTTTGCCTCAAATCCCTAAATGGCCTCTGCAAGAACTGAACTCACAATCCTGGGTTTAGCAGGCCAGTGCTCAAACCACTGAGCTATCCCTCCCCCCTGAAAGTAATAGCTAATATTACTTACCCACAACTCCACTGGAAATCCCATACCCTAGTGGCTATTCTACTTGCCAGTTTTCCAGTGTTAGAACTGTCACCTACTCAACACCAATTTTGGGTTAATTACCTGCTCTGTCAGCCCAAGAAAAAGTTTAGTGTATTATCACTAAGGCTGGGAAACGGATTCCTCTAATCGTCACTGGCTAAAACGATACATGCTGCCATCTATGGGTTTGTTAAGAACATTTCTGCTTGAGTGAGGAACATGGAGGCTGGTCTACATGACTAGCTTAGGTCCAAATATTCAGCATTAGGGATGTTAAAAAGCAGATTTTTTTTTGTGTGAACATGTATCCAACGAAATTTTCAGCTATGACATGTTGATATATGGGGAGGCAGCGGCTCCCCAGGAACTGGTGCTCGCAGGAAGCCAATTTAAAAGCCAACTCCCGTAGAACACTGACTCCCATGTCTGCCCCTTCCCGCCCGCACTGCTGCCTCTGATACATAAGTATCAGTGCAGAGGGGCAGGTGGGAGTTGGGAGCACTGGCCTGAAGTCACTGTTAATCACGTGTCTGATGGAATTTTTATCGGTTACACAGTTAATTTTTTACATCCCTAGCCTGTGCAGCGTTTTCTCCCAAGCCCAAGAAATCCAGTATCTCCTAATTACTCCAGGCATGGTCAGCTGGGCAGTTTCTCCCAACAATGGAGAACTGCTAGGTGTGCTCAACAACTTCTAAGCTGGACAATCAGGAAAATGCATTTAAAAATATTTTAGGGTTTTGAGGAGAGGAGAGTTTTTAATTTCCAGTCCCTGCAAGCCCTTGACAGAGGAGTTCAGAATTGTGACCAGAGAGGTCAGTGTTTGGCATTGTGAGATAGCTGTTGGAGGACTGTTAAAGTCACCATAGGTAATGCAATGGCTATACTTTCACTTAGTCGGCCTCAGTACATAGACCATGAGTCAATGCTGCTCAGGGAAGGTGTGTTACCGTGTTGCCAAACTAGGATGTTTACATTGACGGGAAGACAAATTTAACTGTAGATACACGCACAACTTGGTCAATGCAATGCAGCTTACATAAACTTAGAGCAGGCTGCACAACGTCACGACTAAATATCAAGTGGAACAAATTGTCTAGCATAAGTACTAAAACATTTCAAAGGGACAATTGAAGATGAAGTGGCTCATTTATATCCCTGCAATCATAGAACAAACAAGGGGGTTAATGGGTTATAAATTGCGGTAAGACAGACACTGGATTTATGGCTTACTAAGAACATGAATTTTAGGATCTAGCAAAGTTAAGAATTTAGACTCCCATGCCTGTCTATGGAAGGTGCTTGAGAGCCAGGACTCAGAGGATGACTATATGCACCATAAGGCCGAAAGTCTCCTTTTTCAGCTGTGTTTCAGCCATCTCTACTTGTTTATGGAAACTGGGCATTTGTCCTGGCTGAAGGACAGAGTAGAAAGTGACAGCTGCTGCGTGGGTGTCAGCTGAAGGCAACACTGCCTGCCAGCAGCAATGGAGAAATTTGTTGTTGGCAGGCAGCACTGCCTTCATAGCTAACCCACCCTGGGCCATCCCGATTTTAAATTTAAGAAATATGGACACCCTAGAAAAGAGTTTGTCCCTGGGCGAAATGGTATTTGGCTGCTCTAACCTAACCACATGCAATAACACAGTGCTTTAAATTAGCACTGAGTGGACTCATTCATCTTCAAAACGCTGGACTGCTGTCCAATTGCGCAACCTTTGCCCAAGGACGAGTTATGACTGAGTTTGGAGAATAAATCGTTACCTTGACCTTTTTCAAGAGATTAAAAGGCACTGACAGTAGTATTGTAGGCAGTACTTATTTTAGCCATGTCTCAGTCCCTCGTACTTGAAGCCTTCTTTGTCTAGTAGATATTGCAGCTGGAGCTGGAGCTCAGACTCTGAAACCTACAGGGGGAATCCTGGCCAAAACCCTCAATATATTCAAGTTTGACATATCAACTGGCTGCAATACTTGCCTTACCGAGGTGGCAAATGAACAGGATGACAGGGATTACATGGGCAGTGTTAATGCCATTTGAGGTATTTTAAAGTAGTACACTTCTCATTTCCACAGTCCAGGATTGTAGGTTTTTTTTTTTTTTGGTGTGTGTGTGAGGGGGGAGGAGTTGTATTTGATTTAATATATATATCCACGTACATAAAAAACTAGGATATCATGGTGTTCTACTATGTATTAGCCCTTTACATTGATGATAATTTGAAATAGGGATGCAGTAGTGTAGCTGATTAACCTATAAGCTTTTGCTGATTGGTTAATGCTATAGACCACATGCATTTCCCTCCCCCTTCCAGTACATTTTTGATCAAGCTGACCAGCTGCCTGGCTTAGTCCTAGACCTACCCCTATTGTCGCTCTACATTTGAAGTGTATTAGGAGCCAGGCGGGCAGGCAGCCTGGCTCAGATCTGATTTGTGCTGGGTCAAGGCACTCAGATCCCCCCCCTAGACAGGAGCTACTGCCACCCCGTTCTGCTGCCTCTATCAGAGGCAGCACAGGGTGACCGACAGATGATCTGCATGGGGAGCTGGGTTTTAAACTGGCTCCCCTCGTGGACCAGCTCCAGCATGGCACTCAGTGCTGCTGTCTGATAAAGAGGCAGTAGCACGGAGTGGCCGGGGGCTCCCCAGGTGTGAGACCAGAGTGCACTGCCTGCCGGCCCCAGGGAACTATAGAATAGTTGACTAACTGATAAGAATGCATGAGGTTATGTGAATATTGAATTAACCTATATTTAACATCCCTGATCTGAAGTTAAATATGTAAGTAGGAAACAATTTGTGGTTACTTGCCTATCTGCCTTCCTGATAAAATACAGCACCACATACAAAAAACAAACCAGTCTTGCAGTCCAGTACAGAATAAACAGTTAGCAAATTCTAATTTACCTTGCACATCTGGGTGGAGAGACATATAGAGCAGACACCAAAGCAGTGTGTTGGTAGTGGTGTCAGTGCCTGCAACGAAGAGGTCACCAATGATAAAAAACAAGTAGTCTTCGTTAAAGCTGCTCTCACTGCTGCTCTTTCTCTCTTCTTCCACTTGGAGGAGATACATATCAATGAAGTCCCTAGGATTTTCTCTATCCAGGGTGTCCCTGTGCTGAGCAATTATTTTCTTTAGAAAAACTGTGACATCTAATTCAATTTGTCTCAGTTCCCTGAAAAGACCAAAGGGAAGATAATACAGCCAAGGACAAATGTTGACCAGAAGTACATGACTGCTTACGCTTATCTCTAGCGCACGTGACATTAGCCTTAGCATGATCTTAAACTCAATGTCTTCATAGTCAAAGCGCCTGCCAAAGGCCATAGAACAGATAACATTGGACACCGAGTTGCTGATGACAGGAAAGGGGTTAAATGGATCCTTTCCATGTTTTAACATTTCCTCCTTCACATACTCCAGCTCTTCAATGATTTTGGGTTCCAGGCTATGCTTTCCTAATCCAAAATGACGAAGAGTCGAGTGAGAAAATTTCCTCTGTTGTCTCCATACTGGGCCATATGGTGCAAAAACAACACCTGGGGGAGGGAGGGAAAAGGTGAATCCCAAATTAAACAGCTGTATTCTCACAGTAACACATTTAATCCTTCCACCCCCAAAAACCACAGATTCACAACCAGAATAGGAACTTTCTAAAAAGGAAGGAGAATCATGTGATCAAAGCACAGACCTAGAAGCTCGAGAAAGATGACATTGTTCCAGCGCCAAAGATTCTTACATGGCATTGGGTTTAAATCCACAAATGGAATTGTACTGATCACTGCAATAAGCATTTAGACTCGATCAGTGGTGGGCAACTTCTAGCCCATTGGGGTTCTATGTGGGGACCACAAGACATTTTGTTTACTATTGCCCTTGCACACGGCTGCCAGATTCCACTGGTTTCCATCTTTATAGGTTTTTTTCCTACTGATATTACAAAAGTGACATGCATATAAAGCAAGGGCATGTGAAGTAAGGTGCTTACTGACGGCACACAACATTGACCATGAGAGCTGTGCGCTCCCTCTAAATCCAATCAAAGCATTGCTATGGTTCAATTGGCACTAGGAATGTGAACGTGTATCCATGCACACACTTAACTAAGAGCCTGAGCTTATCGGTTAATGAGCACAGTTATACACAGCCTCCCCCCTTGCTGCAGCTGTATCAGAGGCAGCAGAGCGGAGAGGGAGAGGGGGCAGCTGTCAGAAGGTTTATCCCTTCACCCTCCAACCTGCCTGGCCCTTCTCACGTGAACAAACAACAATACTTGAAGTCCAGAGATGCAAACAATTCAATGTTTATTAGGATTAGCTTCCAGCATGAACCCAGTCTCCCCCACCCCCCCACTCATTTCCTGTGTCTTCCTAATTTATATAGCAATATTTTCAGGTATACTTTAACCAGTCATTCTACTGAAATATAATTAACCAATCCTAGCATATTATAACATGATTATCTAACCATTGATATCCTACCCTCTTAATTGGTTTACACCCAGCAAAATTAATTATACAGGAGACAGAAACAATCAAAGAACCTGATAGAGAGAGGGGGAGTGGGTCCTTGCCAGACAGAAAGCTATCAGCCTAAGTTTCTAGGCTCTTCCCTTTATCTGTAGGCCTTAGACAACAGCCCCAAATTGTTGGAATGTGCCTTATTTCAATATGAATGCTTTGGACTGGTTTGGAACGTGCCAAAAGACTTAGCTTAAGGACAAGGCCTCAGACATGTAGACTGGGTATTGATTCTTTGTTCTTAGATATTCAGGACTGCCTGAAAAGGCCTATATATGTCCTAACAGTGGGGAGGCAGCAGCACTAGTGAGCGGGGGGAGGCAGTGGGGGTAAAAAAGGGGTCTGCCTGCCCCCGTGTGTAAGCATGTAATTTTTCAGTAGTTACACATTTATCCAAACACACACATTTTAACATCCCTAATTGGCACAGCCGGCAGATTCTAGGTACGCAAGTGTAGTTAGGAAAACTGCAGGAGACCATCTAGATTACAACAATCTTGCAACCCACTGAGATGAAGAAGGTCCACTCATGCAGCCTACTCACTAGCCTAGGTTGTCCATCACCGGACTACAGAACTTTAATTAACTTGTTTATGGTTTCAGGGTTAATTTGCTCCAAGATCAATTATAGCAGTACAAAGAGATGCAGAAGAATTGTTATTTTTTTTTAATTGGTATTTTTCTATGGAGAATTTGCATTATAAAAACAGTGAATATTTCATGTTTACTTTCTAAGCAATTTACACCAAACATTTTTTATTCATAAACAAATACAACTGCTTATGATAATGTCTAAAGAGGAACATAAAACCCCATTTAAAATGTTAACCAGTTAACCAGCCTCCTGCATTGCGGGTGGGAGGCCACTGGAGGAGCTCCCATCTGCCCCTTTAATCAGTTAATGAGTTAAACTTAATGTTAACTGTTTCCCAGTAAGCATTACCCATTAAGACTACCCATTCGTATCCCTGGTGCCTACATTAAATTAAGCTTGGAATGCAGAACTTTCAGAGACCATAAAGCACCAATGTTTAGTTCCACATTCTCTCAAGATAATGGCTTCCAAGTAATATTGAAAGGAAAGCAGACACAAGCACTTTAGAGTAGCCAACGTGGCAATTAAGATCCAATATCTACTATTTACCAGAGTTAGAACCAAGTGCTTGGCTTCTAAGTAAGGGGACCTAGAGTATCAGTTTCTGTAAAATTTAAGATTTCATTTTTGAAAGTGTGATGCATTTGAACTCCAGGAACCTATCCCATAACAGAGTGCTGCTAAGAAACCTTTCCAAATACAAATCGCACATAAGCCAGTAACATGTTCCCGAGCCTGCAGATTTCAATTTCTTTGCTGCTGCACAGAGCTTTTCAATGCAACCACAGAGTGAAATTCAGACCTTATCTGTACAACTCCTCTCCTCTCCACTTGTGGAATTTAAATGTTTGTTAATATTGTATCTAAAATGTTCGTGTGCACTGGTTTCTGCACTGGCCAACTCTGCCCTACCCTAAAGAGGAGTTGGGCTAGCAAACAGTTATCATAATTAGGTATGTAAGTGACTAATCGACTATCCAATAAGCAAAAGCTTATTGGATAGTCAACACATTAGTCAACTAGCTGCTTCCCTTCCTCCTCCCTTGCTGCCTCTATCACAAAGAGGCAGCAAAGGGGAGGGGGAAGAGGGTGATAGGGACAGCCGACTTAAAAGCCAGTTCCCCCCACCTCCAGCTCTGTAGGACGGGGTGGGGGCACAGCGGCAACGTGCATTTCAAAGAGGACACAAGAGCCCCAGCAGGGCTCCAGCATTTCAAAGATTGAAACACTGCGTAGAGCCCAGGGCAAGTGTGAAGTCCCCCACTGGCCCCAGGTTCTGTGCGGCGCTTCATCTTTGAAACATATAGGAGTCCCTGCTCCATGCGGTGTTCCTAGGGCTCTTGTACATTTCCAAGGCAGAACGCGTGCTAGTCTTTATCAAATAGTAGACAGAAATCCCATTGACTATTCAATTAATTAATTAATTGATATTTAACATCCCTAATCATAATGCAGAAGCACATGCTTATTTTGCAGTATAATGTCTGGTCTGCAAGTCCCCATTCTTATCAGACTAGAAAAAATATCCCAAGATGCACTTTTGCAGGTGGTGTTGATGCTCCCGTCCGTCCATGTCCTCAGCGTACTCTGTGCTAGGGATGTAAGATGCCTCCATCAGAAAGGCTCTTAATCCATTTAAAAGGCAGAACGGAGAGCTAACCTCACTGCAGCTCTCTGCTTATCAACTAATCAATGGAAAAATCAATCGGTTTATTAGTTGATCAAACTAAATTTAACATCCCTACTCTGTGCCCTATAGAAATATTTATTATGGATCACCCACCCATATTTTCCCAAAATACACCAGCTACCCTATTCAGTTAAGAAAAACTGCAGAGGAGACACCTCCAATCTCATCTCACCCTGCTGACCAAAACCAGCACTAGCTTTTCTCTTCCGCTTTCTCATCATTGCACGGCCACTTGTGCAGCTGCAGTGGCCACAGCAATGGTGGAAAGGCTAGGGTGGACTTGCTGTTGGTGCTTTTATTGCCATCCAGTCCAACACTACTCAGATCAGCTCTGGATGATGTAGCAGTTAAAACAGAGGTTGCCATATGCTGCCAGTCTATATTCACGCCCCAACTTTGTTGCCACAGGTGGAGCTGAGCTGTGACAGTTTACTGGTGGCAAGTAGGTATGTAAGCAACTTGTTGAGTCACTACTCAACTAGTGACTTCTCCCCACCCCCCTGCCCTATTAGAGGCAGTTTGGGGAGGGGGTGAGGGGGGAAGCAGGAGCTGGTACTAGTGGGAGCCTGCTTAAATGCTAGTTTCCCCCCCCCCAACACCATCACCGCAGTGGGGTAGGGAAGTCAGAGGCCTTAATACACTTAAAAGGCAGAGCCACAACAGGATTAGTTCCCCAGACTGGGAGCTAACCCTGCTGCAGCTCTGCAATTTCCCCCCTTATCAACTAATCAAGTAGTCGATGTAAATTCCATTGACTACGCACTTAGCTGATTAAATGCAATTTAACATCATTAGTGGAAAGCCTGAAGAAAAATGTTAAGAACATAAGAACGGCCATCCTGTGTCAGATCGAAGATCCATCTAGACTAGTATCCTGACTCCCGACAGTAGCCAGTGCCAGGTGCCCCAGCAGAAATGAACTGAACAGGTAATCCATCCGCTGTTACCCACTCCCAGCTTCTATTAGCACAGCGTACATGGGGGCTAACAGGACCAGACAGTTTCATAGCTGCTACTCAAAACTTTGTGGATTCCAGTGAGTGATATAGTCAAAGATCACTTAATTTGGAATCTGTTGCTGCTGCTCAACATAGCTGCAGATAGCAGCAGAGGCAAGTACTGAAGGTATTCATGAGAGGACCCCCAACAGCTGTTAGCATAGAGAGTGACAGACACTCTCCATACTAACTGCAGCTAATATTTTCCATGGGAGGTACTGCTATTAGCTTTCCTTCCAAGTAGGGATATTAAGTAGCGATTAATTTACTAGTCGAGTAGTCAATGGAATTTCCATCGACTAGTCGATAAGCCCCGATAAGCAGGGGCTCTTGTGCATTTCAAAGTTGGAACGCCACATGGAGCCCAGGGCCAGCGGGAAGTCCCACTGAGTCAGGGCTCCATGCGGGCACTTCTGCTTTCAAATGCGGAAGAGCCCCAGGCTCCATGCAGCACTGCCCCCTCCCCCAGCTGCATTTATCTGATAAGAGACAGCAAGGAGGGCAGCAACTAGTCGATTATCCAATAAGCATTTACTTATCGGATAGTCGATTAGTCCTTTACATCCCTACTTCCAAGTAAACATAGCAAACAGGAAGTCCAAAGAGGAGGAGAAATGCTCCCAGTTGTCTTTATTGGTAACATCCCTGCCCCAGCTTTTCACATCTGGCTAACTGGAGTTTGGTGAATTTTTCAAGCCCAGGTTCACAAAGCTTAAAACCTGATAAAAACATCAGGTGGTTAAAAATTCAGCAAACTACTTTCTCTCCCACACAGTCACATCACCTTGGGACTCTGCACTTTTTCACTGGCTACCTATAAGATAAAGATCAAAGTCAAACTCCTGGCCTTGACTTTTAAAGCCCTCAGAGCCAGGCCTGGACTACTTCAAAGAGCAAGAGCCACTCAATCAATTACACTCATTAGAAACAATGAAAACATTAATAGCTGAAATTCATAAAAGAGCAGGAAAAAGAAACTTTCAGAAACTAGCCCTCAGACATGGAACTCCATGCAAACCTCCTCCTCTATGGCTCACCTTACTTTTAGGAAACCTAGGATTAGGCCTACAAACTCAAATGCCTATTAGTAGAAGGAGACTAACGTCAGGAAACCACTTGTTTAATATATTTTTGTTAGTCTTCAGGTGCTACATGACTACTCTTTTTTTAAAGTTACAAACTAACACAGCTACTACACCTCTTACATTTATTTAATGTAACTGTCACACAACACTCAGATACCAGCATGATGAATGTGAGACAGATGAGAGGTCACTGGCCTCTCATTATAGTGATATTCTGGCACTGGTCTAGAACTAAATATACCAAGACTTGGACACTAGACTAATTATTTATCAATCGGAAGGTGAGGGGGACTGTCAAACAAAGCTCTATTTCAAAAAGTACAGAATACATTAGCAAACCTCCTGTGTGTCCCTCCTCCCTTCAGAAAAGGGATGCGTATATACAGACACACAGATGCCACCCGTAAGAGGTTTATACTTGATTCAAGAAAGGCCCTCAACTTTTTATGTAAAGAAACATTAATTTGCTAAAGAAACATAACATATATGCCATTTTTAAAGACAGTTGCCACAATCAATCCTTCAGTGGCTGATTGAAAATGCCCCCTTAGGCTTTTGAGGCATCCCAGCTAACAACCAATAAATGCAGAGCTGGACTTAAATATCCCCAGCAAACACTATGTATTCATGTATCAACGAGATTCCATAGGATCCCACATATAAACAGTATTACTTTTGTCTGCCAGACCTAGAGAAGTACTCAGTTATCTAAGCTTCTCACTGAACTACTTGAAATGTCTTCTGATAAAGCTGTTACACCAGTAAGTCCTCAAATGACAGACACTTGCTTCTTTAAATTCCTGCACATAAACAAGACACCTCTCCTTTACTTTACCTAGAGATAAAATGACCAAGCTTCTCATCTCTCATGCTTTAGTGCAAGGTTCTCAAACTCCCAGGCCATCCCAGGCTAGAGCACTTGTACAATCTGGCTCGCGAATCTCATTCATAGTGCTTGGTGGGTGCTCTTTTGCCACTTTCCTTCCCCGCAGCTCCTGCAGTCACAGGAAGCTCAGGGGAGCCCAGCCACTACTGCTGCATGGTGCCAGGACCCTCCAGTAATACCCAAAGCCATGTCCTCAAGGGATGGGGTGCCATGGGGGGGAGGGGACAAAGAGCAATGGCGGGAAGGAGCAGGGCTTGAGGAACAGCAACAGACAGTCCACTTCACCAGCCTGCCAGGACTCCTGGGCTAACCAGCACCATTGCTTTGGCTCAGAATTGTCCACGGGCGGGGAGTTTGAAATTCCTGCTTTAGGGTGTAAGCTGATCACCAGCTATGGTAAAGGGCTTTATTGAGATTTTACACCTTTGACTAAGTCTACATTGGCACTTTACTGCGTAGTAACTTTCTGGCTCTGGGGTATGAAAAAACACTCCCTCCTGAACCTCCAGAGCACAGCAAGTTACAGTGCAGCGTAAATCAGGCTACAGCACTGGGAGCTATGCTCACAGCACAGATAGCTACTCCCCTCATGTAAGTGATTTACCCCTAGAGCACTGGAAGAGCTCTCTGGCTACACTGCCACAGCTGCATTTTAAACTTTCTAGTGTAGATAAAGCCGTCCTATAAAGCCAGGGTGCTCATACTTCACCTAACCAGAAAAATGTGTAAGCCTAAGCAAATTGCCAATCACATGCCCCATATGACAGATATAGCCAAGATAACAGTTGGCAACAGCTTTGCTTGCAACTTCAGTACAGAGATGCATCCTGCATGTAGGTTCCCATCACAGTTGGCTTTAGCAATTTAGTCAGGTTTACAAAATAATCCCAATTCTTCTCATTCATCCCTACTAAGGGTTTGTATGCTGTTTAAATGTTAGAGAGGTACAGCTGCAGCTCTGGCACTGTAAAACTTCCAGGAGCTGTAGGTAATTCATCTCCCTGAGAGGCAATAGATAGGTCAATGGAAAAATTCTTCTGTCAACCTAGCGCTGTTCACATGGGTACTAAGTTTAACTATGCTGCCCAGGGATGTGAATTTTTCACATTCAATTAAAATATTTAAACTAACCTAACCAACCTAAATTTACATAACCAATTCTTATTCACCTTTTATCTGAGTAGGTCCCCACCCATCACTGTCATGATACATCTTGCAAAAAGGTAAAGAATTTACTGTATACCTTCCCTTATTATGTACAGAAATACTGTTTGCCTCATTTTAGAAATGGAGAATAAAGAGGGAGATAGTCTTCCCAAGCTTTGCAGGAAGTCTGGGGTAGATCTGATAATTGAACCCAGATGTACTAAGACCGAATCCCGTGAGTTAGGGCTTCTCTACCCTTGAAACACTACAGTAGCAATGCTACAGTGCTCAGTGTTGACTGTTCCGTACAGTGATGAGCAGAGCTCTCCACTCAGCATAGTATTTCTCCACCTCCTCAAGAGGCAATAGCTAGGTTGAAAGAGTTGTTCCATCAACTAACTTAGGGTTAGGTCAGCTAACAGCATCACTCAGGATAACAGCTTACTCAATTTTTTTGAGCATAAATGAGGCCTCTACCACACCATCCTTCCTCCCTGAACCTAGAGCCTAAGCCTTTCAGGAAAAATAAGCGAGCCAATGCTTTGGTATCCGCTCCCACCACACCCAAAGATACTTTGTATCATGCTTGTTCGTAGCTGCACACGAGGGGGAGGGCGCAGGAGGGGACTGACAACAGCTGCTACAGTCAGCGGATACGGATTCTGGCTGCCACATGACCCGTAATAATCTTACCCAAGACAATTGACTGAGCTCAGGAAACAAAGGCCCAGCTCTTCCCGGCACTGCTGTGTGTCGAGCCTTTGTTGGTGAGATTATAAGCAGCCCAGCCCTTGTCAACTCCAGACATCACACCCGGCTACCACCAGGGTTAGAGGCTTGTTGGGAAAGGTGAGGTTTGCCCCTTTCCGGGCACTCCCTCCCGCAAGCCCGGCTGGCAGGGAAGCCGCCTGGCCACGTTTCCCTCCTGCCGGGACCCCAGGGCCGCGCCCCAGTCAGGCCGGGGGAGGGAGGGGTCGCTCGGCTGCTCCCCCCGGCCCCTGCGCTCACCCTTTTTCTTGGTAAGCATGGCCACGATGGGCACGCTCGGCCGGTCGCTGAACACCTCGGCCTGGCCGACTAGCGCCTGCCGCACCGCCTCGAAGTCGCTGAGCACGATCATGGGGCGGCTGCCCACGAAGAGGCAGAAGACGCTGCCGTAGACCTGGGCCAGGCCGGTCAGCAACAGGTGCGGGGAGAGCGGCCGGGACTCTCCGCCCCGCAGCCACCTCTGCCGCAGCCGGCCGGGCAGCAGCGCGAAGCCGAAGTTGCCCACCAGCGGCCAAGGCCGGGGGCCGGGCGGGAGCCCCCGCGGCGGGCGGCCCAGTAGCCAGCAAAGCCCCAGCAGGAGCCCGGCGGCCGCCAGCAGCGCGCCCCAAGCGGGCTCCCACCCGGGCCAGCCCTGCAGCCCCGACCCAGCCATGCCGCTCGTGGAGCGCCGCGCGCCGCTACATCGCCCGGGCGCCTCCAGCAGCAGCCAGCGCCCGGCCCCGCCTCCTGCCATTGGCTGCGAGCGCCTGGGGGCGGAGCTCCGTGCGTCACCGCTCGCCACAGACCCCGGGGAGAAGCCCCGACTCCTCCCCCCCCCCGCCGCCCCAGCGAGCCGCGTGATGGCCTGAGCCCCGGGGCTTCGCTCTTCCCAGCGCTGCCTCCGCTCCAGCCCCCGCCGGCAGGAGAGCCAGCGCGCGGGGGGAGAAGGAACTTGGCGCTTTCCTGAACCATGCCGCGACTCCCAGATGTTTGCAAATGGGAAAGGGGGCTGGCTAGGAACGGGGCAGGAAAATAGCCGCCCCCTTCCTTTTCCTTTGGCCCCACCCACTCCCGTGGCACCTGCCAGGGCTAAGCATACAAACCAACATACATCTCGGGATAAGGCTGGGGCCTGACTGGCCAGGTAGCAGTTCTTCAGAAAAGGACCTGGGGGTTACAGTGGATGAGAAGCTGGATATGAGTCAACAGTGTGCCCTTGTAGCCAAGAAGGCTAATGGCATATTAGGGTGCATTAGGAGGCGCATTGCCAGCAGAAGTGATTATTCCCCTTTATTCCATAGTGGTGAGGCCACATCTGGAGTATTGCATCTAGTTCTGGGGCCCCCACTACAGAAAGGATGTGGACGCACTGGAGAGGGTCCAGCGGAGGGCAACCAAAATGATTAGGGAGTTGGAGCATTTAACTTAGGAGGAGAGGCTAAGGGATTTGGGCTTATTTAGTTTGCAGAAGATTTGAGGGGGGTGAGTTGATAGCAGCCTTCAACTTCCTGAAGGGAGGTCCCAAAGTGGATGGAGAGAGGCTGTTCTCAATAGTGACAGATGGCAGACCAAGGAGCAATGGTCTCAAGTTACAGTGGAGGAGGTCTAGGTTGGATATTAGGAAAATCTATTTCACTAGGAGGGTGGTGAAACACTGAAATGGGTTACCTAGGGAGATGGTGGTGGAATCTCCATCCCTAGAGGTTTTTAAGTCCCATTTGACAAAGCCCTGGCTGGGAATGATTTAGTTGGGGTTAGTCCTGCTTAGGGCAGGGGACTGGATTCGATGACCTCCTGAGGTCTCTCCCAGCCCTAGGATTCTATACCTCTGCTCAGAGACACATTAAACTGATTCACTGGAGGGATAATTTAAGGTGCTTTAAAGTAGTTCATGCTCCTGTGCCTTAATTCAGAAGAGAAGACGCCTTTAATCCCCTTCAAAGGAGTAAATTAAGCACATCAACCTTAAACATGTGCCAAGGCAAGTCCACCCCTGTTTATGAAAGCATTTACGTGCTTTGCAGAGGAGCTCTGGTAGGCCACCAGCGCTTACAGTATCCGAATGACAGACATAGTTCGAGGAACTAAAAGACATGAGGAAACGGCAGGGCAGCAAAAGCAGAGGTGGGCGGAATAGGGGCTAGCAGCCCTGCAGTGAAAATATGGTGTGCATGGGGGGAGGGGCAGATCTATGTATGTTTCTACCCCTCTGGCATTGCCTGTGGAATGTGGACAGTTGGTGCAAAGAGGGGTAGAGGCAAGAGCAGGACCCAGACGGGCTAGAGTAGTCATCGCATCGGGGATGGGGACCAGATAGGACACAACCTCCCCCTTTGCTGAAGCTCTTTAATGCCCCCTCAGTGAGCACCATTTCTCTCCCCTCCTATCCCTGGCACCTCAACCTTCCCTTCTGCTCCTAGTACACTTGTTCCCTATCTAGAGAACTATCCCTGCATCCATAACATATTTCCACTAGCACCAGAACTGTGCATTTCTGGGCCTATCCTACACTATCATCTACGATGCTAGAAAACGTAGTGTAGTAGATCATGATAGGCATGAACTGTACATATCAGACAGTCATGACAAGATTTGTCATGCTCAAATGTAACATTTCAATCAAATATTATTGGTTAACTTTTTTGTAATTCTCATGTTTTATTTACAGAATTCTGCCCCCTCTCCTATCTAGTGTGCTTGATGCCAAAGGCCCCCCCCCCCAAAAATCAGGCAGTCTTCAGTCTAAGTTCAAGATACATTCCAAAAATCTTGGAGTTGTAGCAAAATAACTTAAAGCGTGGAATTTTTTTCAATCACAGCTGACTAGCTGACTTCCTTTTGTGCAAAATTTTTTGTTTGTTTGACATAAGAGCAGGGAATGGGGAGACTTATAAAACCTCAGTTCCTACAAGCATCAATGACTTTAGTGCAGAACAGATGTATACCAGCATGACCTATAGCAGGGACGCCCTGTATGAGGTAGGCAAACCCCACAATTTTAAGTCCAAACTAGTTCAAATTTCAGGAAGAGGTTTTGATTCAGCTTCCCAGCTGTGAACTTGTCCCTGCTGTTTTGGTACTGGATTAGATCCAAAACTAACAGTATATATTGCAGCAGTAGGAGCCAACGCCCTAAGTGCTCCAGGGCTCAAACACCCACAGAAAAACATAGTGGGCGTTCAGCACCCAGGAACAGAGCTTGAGTGTGGAATATGATGAGTTCTGCGTGAACAACTTCTGTGCTTGGGCCATGGAGTTTAATTATAATCAGAGGCAGGATGATTCAGATAACAAAAGGCTTGTCATTAAATTAAGGATGGTTAGATGATCTTGGAAAAACAACAAGTAGTCCTGTAGCACCTTAAAGAATAACAAATATATAGTATCATGAGCTTCTGTTGGCAAACCCATTTCTTCAAATGAGATGATCTTGAAAACGTTCCCATGCACTTCAGTTAAAAGATAGGAATCAAAGGGTAAAAATAAATGATCCATTTTCAGAACAGAAAGGTAAATAATAGTGGCCCCTAGGGGCTTGTACTGAGACCAGTCCTGTTCAATATATTCAAATTATCTCTGCAGATAATTTGAGTGAGGTAGCAAAGTTTGCAGATGGTAACAGGTATTTCCCAAAACTGGGATCTTACCAACAAAATGTCAGATAAAATGTAATGTTAAATGCAAAGTAATGCACATTCCAAAACATAATCCTAACTATACACACACACAAAATGATGGTGCCTAAATTAGCTATTACCCATAAAGAAAGAGATCTTGGAGAGTACTGCAAATTCACAAGAATGCTTCTCACAGACTGTATCATCCTGGATGCATTCTCCAGTTTCAGATGACTTAAAAATTACCTCCAATCATCAGTGGCACAGATGCAACTGAATAATGTATCTGTCCTTAACATCAAAAAACGGTCTTATTCATCAATATGCTACCCAGGAACCTAAATATAAATAAGATTGTTGTCAATTTCATCCATAAATCTACAGAGAAATATAACAATTTAAACTGGGATCTTCGTGATGACAGCTTGTAAGTGATGTTAACATACCATAATTCATGATAATGCAAGCAATTAGTTTGTAACAACTGGCTCATTTTTTGAATAGTAAAGATATCAATACCTAGAAGATGAAAGCAGAGCATAAATATGCTGAAACACACAAATACACACCTCTTCAAAAGCCTCCACTGGGAAAAACAAAAGTCAGCACCTAAATTTCCAGTTTCAGTTCTCATGTGACCAAAATCACACAAGAACTTCCATTGTCATGAGATTTTGGCACATGTCTGAAATCTCTTAGTATCATAGGATTGGAAGGGACCTCAAGAGGTCAAGACCAGTCCCCTGCATTTATGGCAGGACCAAGTACCATCTAGACCATGCCTGACAGGGGTTTGTCTAACCCTGTCTTAAAAATCTCCTATGGTAGAGATTCCACAGTCTCCCTAGGCAATTTATTCCAGTGCTTAACTTCCTAATTGTCATGGTGGTTTTTCCTAATGACCAACTTTAACCTCCTTTGCTGCAAGTTAAGCCCATCATCAGAGGTCAAGGAGAATAATTTTTCTTCTTCCTCTTAACAAATTTTTAGATCGGGGTGGGCACAAGAAGGAACAGAGCCTCAAAAGGAAGGGGGTGGGTCAGGATGCTTCGGGCTTCTCCATCCACAGACCATGATTGATCTCGGGGTGAAAGAGCCTCTTTGCCCCTCCTTCCCACTAAGCATCATGCCCTTGGCAGTGGGAAGAGACTTCCCGTGCTCCCCCACCTCCAGGCCAATCTGGACCTGGGGGCAAGGGAGCACGTGAAGCCTTCTCCTGCCCTGCCAGGAGCGCGCAGCACTTCAAAGCACCGTGTGCTCCTGGCAGGGTGGAGAAAATGTTGTGCGCCTCCCCCCGCCCCTAGGCCCTAATTGGCCTGGGGGCGGGGGAGCAACAGGGCCTCCGCTGGCTGGATCAACCCACTTGGTGTGCCAAGCAAAGGCCCTTTTGTCCACCCCTATTTTAGGTACTTGTTATGTCCCCTCTCAGTCTTCTCTTTTACAGACTAAAATAACCCAATTCTTTGAGTCTCCTCTCATAGGTCATACTTTCCAGACTTCTCTGAACTTTCTCCAATTTGTCCACATCTTTCCTGAAATACAGCACCTAGAACTAGACACAGTACTCCAGCTGAGGCCTAATCAGCTCGTAGAAGAAAACAAGAATTGTTTTTTGTGCCTTGCTTATAACTGTTAATATATTCCAGAATGGTGTTTGCTTTCTTTGCAACGTGTCATGCTGTTGGCTCGTATTTAGCTTGTCTTCTATTATGATCCCTAGATCCTTTTCTGTAGTATTCCTTCCTTGATAGTCATTCCCATTTTGTATGGGTGCAACTGATTTTTTTCCTAATTAGAATACTTTGCATTGGTCCTTGTTGAATTTCATCCTACTTCAGACTATTTCTCTGGCTTGTCTAGATCATTTTGAGTTGTACTGCTATCCTTTAAAGCATTTGCAACCTCTTTCAGATTGGTATTATATGCAAATTGTATAAGCGTGCTCTCTACTCTCTGAAAATATTGAACAGAACTGGTCCCAAAACTGATCCCTGTGGAACCCCCGTCATTATGTCTTTCCAGCATGACTGTACCATTGATAAATACATTCTGGGAACAGCTATCCCAACCCATTAGGCACTCTCCTTATAGTAGCCCCATTTACGT